TAAACATCCATGTGAAGCATCAACTCCCTTCTAGCTTGATCCAATGATAGCAGGCCAGGACGGCAAACATGGCCTGTTGGATTACCCTATTGAACCTCATGGCTCTGAGGTATATACAAGTTGGATGTTTGACTTGCGTAAATTGTTGTATAATCTGATAAAGATTTAATTAAAAGATGGTTGTGATTCTAAAATTGGTGTTTATTTTGGGTGGGAATTTCCAGATTCAAAGTTTTAATTAACACATTTGTCATAAAATATGGATAAATAGTTACTTCTTGAGTATCATAAGATTTTTTTCTCAACAAAATGAGTGAGTGAGTATGATTTTATGCCATTTTAAGTCATATTCCAGAGATATCACCAGAAATGGTCTTTACACATTGTACTCATGTGGGGACTTGAACTCGGATCTTCGGTGTGACAAGCGAAGCCTTTAAAAACTAGCCTACCCCACCACCCTTCAACTAAAAGAACCAGAAAGTTGTCTATAATTATTTTGTAAAGGCCTATAGATAGTTTTGGATATGATTATGATATTGACTGCACTGTTTTTTCTGTTTGATTCTTAAGATGTTTTTTTTCATAGTGATGTAGTCTCTCTTCCAGTTTATGAAATTAATATTTAAAGGCAATCAATACTGGTATGAATTGTATAACTGACAGAGCGAGACAACGTTGAAACCATTACAAGTGAAACATATCTCATCCTTATCACAGCCAACATCACCATCTGGCAATAATGATGATCAAATTTGTTGTAAATTGCATAACTGGGACACCATGGGTGTAATACATTTCAGTGAAAATTCTTGATTTCATTGAAATGAAAATAGACATGTTGCAGTCAGAACAAATACTTTTTCATACATGGAGATGATATTCTAGATCCCGACTATCAGCAGTACCATAGGAGACAGGAATGTTTTCTGACAAAACACTCACCCACCATCTATGAGCCCATCACTACTCTATTCCTTTCTCCATGGCTTGCAGAGTAGGAGCTTAAGGTCACAGTTTCTTTCATCTTGTTACCAAATAATGCTACCTATCCTTAATTACATGCTTTAATTAACAAATTTACTGCTCATTAAATCCTGCATTAGGCTATCCTTTGCATGTGTTGTTTTGTATTACCTGTATCAGAATGTTTTAATCGAATTATCGTTTATATCTGTCTGGTATTAGTTTATCGGGGTGATGAGGAAGACTTTCAGTCTGCAAGGAGGCGTCTATCCCCGAACCTCAGCATTGTTACCATTTTTTCGTCTTACCCATCTGATGGTATAGTAATTAGGAAACAGTGGGTTGTACCCCCCTTTGCTTCAAGCAATCAGGGAAGAGCCAGAAATGAACTGTACCGAAACTGACGCCTTAGCGCTGTTGTCTATTTCATCTCATGCTCAGCTGTTGAGATAGGAGAAATGTTCATTAGAATGTGTCAAGTAATGAAGAACGACTGTTTCAGATATAATTTAGAAACATAAAGCTAGTAATTTTTCATGTGTATTGAGCTATTATACCTGAAACTCATATTGCAAATAGTTGATAGCATTTTACTCTGTTGTACAACTAACTGTTCATCAATAGATATAAATAGCTGGCTCAAGCTGTGCTAAAATATGAAGATTGAGGCTAGTTTTAAGTATACATGACAGATCGGTTTGCCATATGGCTTCTCTGTAGCGCCTGCGGGCATTATGACACATGATAATGCATAGTGGCAGCAAACATGAAGTTAGCTGGTATCTTCACGCCTGATATCTTTCCGCCAAAAGTTGACATAAGAATGCTCCACTGTCATGTAATGAATCCATTCTTGTGATTATTACTGGATGTTATCTGTTATATTCACATTGTATTCATTAGTGTCAAATATTACTGTCACTGTCACTTTGGTGAATACATATCGCCCTCAGCAAGATGGAAGAGCACACTCCTGTGTTACATGGGATTTAATGCCTACAGTCCATGTACCCCCTCCCTACAGTTCAGCTACCCCTCCCCTACAGTTCAGCTACCCCCTCTCTACAGTCCATGTACCCCCTCCCTACAGTCCAGCTACCCCCTCTCTACAGTCAATGTACCCCCTCCCTACAGGCAACTCCCAGTATATTTCCAAGTAATACCAGTTTGTCCCAGCAAACATTCCAACAAAATGTCCCAATATATTTTCAAATAATATCAGTTTTGTCCTAGCAAACTTCCAACAAAATGTCCCAGTATATTTTCAAGTAATACCAGTTTGTCCCAGCAAACATTCCAGCAAAATGTCCCAATATATTTTCAAATAATATCAGTTTTGTCCTAGCAAACTTCCAACAAAATGTCCCAGTATATTTTCAAGTAATACCAGTTTGTCCCAGCAAACATTCCAGCAAAATGTCCCAATATATTTTCAAATAATTCCAGTTTTGTCCTAGCAAACTTCCAACAAAATGTCCCAGTATATTTTCAAGTTATACCAGTTTGTCCCAGCAAACATTCCAACAAAATGTCCCAATATATTTTCAAATAATTCCAGTTTTGTCCTAGCAAACTTCCAACAAAATGTCCCAGTATATTTTCAAGTAATACCAGTTTGTCCCAGCAAACATTCCAACAAAATGTCCCAATATATTTTCAAATAATTCCAGTTTTGTCCTAGCAAACTTCCAACAAAATGTCCCAGTATATTTTCAAGTAATACCAGTTTGTCCCAGCAAACATTCCAACAAAATGTCTCAGTATATTTTCAAGTTATACCAGTTTTGTCCTAGCAAATGTTCCAGCAAAATATCCAAGAATATTTTCAAGTAATGCTATGTCCTAGCAAATGTTCTAGCCATATTTTCAAGCAGTACATCCAAGCACTTCTGCCTTTTTCAAACACAAGACATCCTCCCCAAAACTCTCAAACCCTTCACTGAAACCCATCTCACTGCTTAACCCGTCCAACACCCAAACCATCTCCACCAAGGTCCTATTGGGTCATTCCATTAATCTGCAGTGGCCATTTCATTAGACATGACCACTGGAATAAATCACCTTTTATTGGTCTTAATTGTAGCTCCTTATAGTGATTGGTCCGTTGTTATCATATTCAGGCGCTGTAGCTAAATAGATTCACTGAAGCTTAGATATGTAGCCAGATTCCAGGTATTCCGGAGACTTGTATCTCGGTGAATAGCCTGTAAGTGCCTTGCTTGTGAATAGAAGAAAATATTGAATGAAGAAAAATTTGAGATATTTTGACAGTTCCTGTCTAAAATTTCACTGCAATAATTTGATGCTTGAATGCTCAGTGCAATTTTTGTCATAAATTTCATTGCCGTTGTTTAACACTTGATCAATCCCATGGATTTATTTTGTATTTCTTCTTGGTGATTCAACGGTTAAATAATATGCATGATTCATGTATTGTATTTTGATGAATAACATAAATTTAGTTTTATTCTTTTACATTTTCAATTAAAAGTAATAAAAACAACACAAAATATTTTATCATTGATTTTGTAGAAATAAGCACTTTAATGCCCCAATTTGAAGAGATCTATTTCTTTTATATGCAGTATGACACACAAATGTGCATAGACTTAGCTTGGGCAGATGTTTACCACTAGCAAACGTGGACATTGGAATGGGAATAGCGAAACCTGTAAGCATGGTAATAGTGAAACCTTCAATTACTGGTATAGTGAAAGCTATAATCATGGGTATTGTACTGACACAGAAATAAGTATAAGCAAATCTGGAACCTAAACTTATTAGCAGTGAATCCTGGTGTGACTAAGAGACACAACTGTGCAAAGTATATCCCATGTCTAAGACCACTGACTCTTCATTGCAACTGTACCCTGCATTCCGAGCATAAAATCAATAGGTGTTTACAGGATACACAACAAATATCTCCGAAGGGTTGAGAAATAGATGCAGATATTCTTCCATCATGGTTTAGATATACTACAAACTTAAATTTCGTCTTAAGATTAATTTTGATTTTAGACTTCATTTGCACCACAAGACATATTCCTGCGCTGAGATCCTTACCATGTTATTATGATAAAGACATGTGCATTAGTGAATGTGTCCATTTAGCTGGAACACTTGTTTACTATCAATTTCTTTGAGGATAATTAGGCAAGCCACATAATTGGATTTCTAATTATTTTCATAATATTCTATCCAACACATGGTTTATATTAATAGGGAACAGATTCATGGCAACAGTCATTATCTGGATGGAACAGAGGTTTGGCAGACAAATGAGTTATGTAAGCCATTAGAACCTGACCGACTTGTGGAACTTGCCTGTTGACTTGCTATCTATGTATGGAAGTGTCTGTGAGGAACTGCACTGAAGGAATGGGAGAGATATGTCAGCTTTGGATTTTAGATATTTCTTAAAAATTGAATCTATGTTAACTTGAAGCTGGGAATGTCAGTGTTTGGTGAATTTATTTTAATTAGAATATTTGGAGAAGATTTAGTGTTGCGAATTGTTTGTGTTTCATTTGAGGGAAATACATTTGTCTTGACTGCCATGGAAACTATTGTTTCATAATTACTGGGATAGTGTTGCTTAAAAATGACAAGGTGGTGTTGCTAGATGTGCACTGTAGCCTCAGAGAGCTAAGGCACATGATTCACTGTGCAGAGTTGTGTCCCTTGGTCATGCTAGGATCTACTATTCATTGGTCTGGGGTCCAGATATGTTTATGATCCTGACCACACATGTATCATAATGCATGATGGCGGGTTAGCCATGTGGTTGAAACATTAACTCAACACATCCCAGGTTCAGTTCCCTGATAGGTACAATGGATTGTTGTCTCCCAATTTAGTGACGGGTTAGAATTAGCCATCACCAACTCATGCTTGTCATAAGAGTTGACTCACTGACTTGGTTGACACATGTTATTGTATCCTAAATGCATGCTCATGCTGTTGATCACTGGATTGTCTGGTCCTTGCCTTCTTGCTTAAATTCCATGACATGACTATTATTTTTACTCTTGCAGGTAAAAGCTACACAATGATTGGGAGTGACGAGTCATCACAGACGTTGGGGGGTGGTGCCATGTGCTGTGGCGTGGTTGTTCAAGCTCATCAATGAACAGAAAGAAAAAACAGGAGCTCGATTTTCTGTCCGTGTCTCCGCAGTTGAGGTCATTGGCAAACAGGAAGTGTTGCATGATCTGCTTGCCGATGTTGCTCAAAGTAAGACATCATTTTATTTGTATTGTTTTCCCAAAATTCTTTCACTCGGTAAGTTCCTGGACTATCCATATAGAGAAACTAGCAACATTCCATGGTCTAGTCCCCACTTCCAGCTCCAAGTCTAGACACTGTAATCAGGACCATGTGTGGAACTGAGACAATGTCTATGTGTAATTAAGGTAATCATCAGCTTCGAGATTGATCTACATCATGAGATTTTAGTTAGCAGACAAACTAAGTGGTTTTTTGAATGACTTGAATCCAAGTTGCTGGGGCTACCAATTGCCCTCTGCCCCATCTCTCTTTAAGTGTCCTGACTGGTCGGTCCACTTCTTAGCATGCTGCCATGAAATACCAGGACTGTAGTTGCCCATGGATACCCAGGCATTTTATAACACGCAGATCTCATGATATCCCTCCAGATTCCATGAATTAATGAATTAATGAATTTTAAACTGTTTATCTAACGTATCTACGCAAAGCTACTTGCACATTTCATGGAATATGGACTCCATGATTTCCCTCAAAGTATCACGATTTCATGAATTTTATGCCATTACCAACTTAAGTGTTTCAGAGCCTGCAACTTGATGAAATATTTGATTTCAGTTGTAATCTTCAAAATTCAGTCCTTTTAGCTTTGTCATCATAAGTGTTAAACTTGTTTGTCAAGTATTAAATGTTTGTGTTTAGAAAAACTTTAACAAAAAAATTTAAATGAAGTGTTCTGACCAGTCAAGGTCAATATGACTCACAATTATGTGCGATAATATTTCAAAATGTCCATTATCACCAACTCCGTTGCATGTTTAGACACTCCGACCATCAATTTCATCATATTCGGGCTATAATTGTTAGAATTAGCTAGACCAACATAATACCATTCAAAATTCCACATCAAATAACTTCTGAGAAAACCCAGGCCTAAAAAGAATTTGTTATGTGCTCAAATCACCACATTTATGAAATACAAAACTTCTCCATACCAGGGTGTTCTATTTGTGAATGAAAAATTAAGCAGGAATTTGAAAACGCAGAATAGTTTGAGCACGAGGGGTTGAGATCTCCATAGATCATGTTCTACATGCCCGACATGTTGGGTCCATGATTCTATATCTCTGGCTAGGATATAATACCTTAGGAGTCCGCCTTGCTGGTGGTCTTGAAATCTGGTAGGATATTCTAAACCTCAGGTTGGGAATATAATCAAGCTTAATGGCAAGCGATTCAAGTTTCTTTCAAACATGTCTGTAACATGCATCGGAGATCTGTGTAAATGCGTACAAAGACTTTTTATCAAAGCAGAATTAGTCCGAAACTATGTTGTTCATGTACAGTTGCTGTGATGTTTATTGGGAACTTTTGGATAACTCATTAATAGCACTGTTGTATGTCGTAATGTTCTACAAGAGCTTTGTATCACCTTGTGCCATTGGAGAAGTCAGCTTAACTTCCATAGCCATACTTTGGTTTGATTCCTTGAATTCAACCTATTATCTTAAAAGAAATGATATTTGCAATGTTCTTCAGAGGGTTTCAACATTCCAATTCCTTTTCAATGCAAAAATCAATTTGAGTCAAGAATTCTTAAAATCCAATTTTTTATTCCTGCTCGGAATTATGATTATCAACGGATTTCTTCTGTGAAATTTTTGTGTAATTTTATCATGAATTGAAAATTTGCAAACCTTTGATAAAGGAAGCAGAGATTTGAAAAAAATCCTGTTTGAATTGTTGTCAAATCAAGCAATGCAACCGCTCCTTCAGATGACTTTGTTCAGGGCATAATGGCCAAGTTTTCTCAGTGCAACAAATTGATCTTGAAAGAGGCCTCTGTCAAAAACGATTCCTCATACCACAATAGCATCACAGACCAATTCCGACATTCCTTAGGACTTATTAGCTAACAAAAGATGAAACCTTATTAACCAGAAGCAAACAAGGCTTTAGAAAGAACAGGCAACATGCAGATCCGTCGATGTTATCCTAACATGTTCTGCCAATGAGATCCCCGAAACTGTGACGAGGACAAAAGGATTTAATCTTCCCCTCTTCAGCACAAACCATTCTGAGTAATACACAACAGCCTGTGATTGTTGCTTCTAAATCTCATTGCAAGCTATTCAATGTTGTTTGATAAGCAGACCATTGCAAATTAGATTCTTCAACTGCATGCCATCACATTGGAAAAGCGTGACTCACAAACTAATTAATTGGATCGGAAAGTGTTCTTAATTACCAGTTGGAGATTGTCTTTATAATATCTATTTGTATTATGGGAAATTGAGCCTGCTGTTCATAATGTGTGGGGCCAATGATCTGACAACTATCAGACTGGAGTAATGACATTGATTAGATGCAGATGCTAAGAAGATGCCCTTAACGTGCACATAATGTGCAGTATATGCAGTAGTGACGCCCTAGTATCATCAATGGGACAAGAAGCAACCCAGACACTGTTGAAAGTGATTTAACTCCTACTTTGATGTATTTTTTCTACACAAGGCAATCGCTATCATTTCTTATTCGGACCATGGCTATCAGGGATACCATTCGCAGACATTGTACAAATACATTATGAAAGGAATTCTAACCAGGGGAAATAGGATTGCTTGGATAAAGATTTTAGGGTTGATTTAGGAAAATCTGAGCTGTTATGTCTGTTTCAATAAAACGATGGAATATCATCCAGTCACATCTCTATAGACCTCCTGTAGCTTACATGAACCCCATATTGTAAAACGAACAAACATGACCAATTTTAGCTAATAAGAATCAATCATTTATGAAATATATGTTCAAAACCCACTTATTATTAACTTCTGGCAATTTGTAGAGATACAAGAACGTTAATTAGCATTGATGGGTGATATTTAGATGAGAAGTATCCCGATCAGGATGGTTTGTATTATGAAGTGGACATCTTTCAGAGTGTTTGCTTCTGAAGTGAAGACCCTTTCCATTTCCAGTGCAATAAATCTAACCAGAAAATACTTTCAAGATGGTGTGGTACATAACCAAAGCAATTCCTGCTAAATCAGGCCGATCTCCTACAACCTCCCCCAAACTGTTGCTAACAGCAGCCCAAATACATGGTGATCACAATCCAGCACCCATGGAGAGCACGAGGCCTAACAAATAGTGCAAAACAGCAGTGGCTCACCAGTTTTGAGATAAAACGGATGTAACAAGCCACAAGTGGCGGATGTTTCGAGATCACTGCTCAATAAGAGAGTAGCTGAAGAATTTGCCATGGTGTGACAGCTTGTATTGGGTAGGGGAAGTCAGCCATGACTACGCTTCTGAACATTGTGTGACACTCATAGGAAATGCTTGCTAAGGCCCTCTCTGCATCCTTTTCTCTCGCTCTATCAACTACTGCGGGAAATGATTCAATTAAGAATCACTCTGAATTGTCATGTACGGAGTTCTACAGTAAGGAAACTAATTCTTGGATCGATTAAGATCGCCAGGCCTTCAGCTGTGCGTTTCTGTTAACTCAACCCTGGTCACACACCAAAATGTTCCCAGGTCGCAACCAGTAATTCAATTTCATTTGCATGTGATCATTTGTGGAAAGTCCTTTTTTGATAAAAAACGGAAAAGACTGTTTTTTATCAAGTGTGACTGTTGTCGTGATTTCTGGATGCCATCACCACCAGTTTGATTGCGTCAGCATCTAATTCCCAGCATCCAGGGATTATTGTCGATTCGTAATCACGACATGGCAACAGAGTCAAGGGTCATTATTGGCAACTCACTTTGGCAATCGTAAATTCGTTCATGAAGATTTATTCTGCTGAAGAAAATACAAAACAGCAGTACTTCTTTTTCTTCATTAGTTCAAATAAGATTCTGTGTCCAATTTCTGGTTGTAATGTATGAAAGGAAGAACATATCCACGTTCTGTTAACTTTCACAAAAAATGTACAAAATTCAATTTAGCTTTATGGAAAGTTCATTATTAAACTTTACTGACCTATGCTATCGAATCAGCAACTGTCTCTGCATTCATTTCAGTAAATATGTATTTTACGAACAGTCTCACACTGAAGAGCATATTCAAACCCTAAAATCTCATCTACAATGTATTAGAAAAAGCTAAAGTATTTTGACGCCAGAAATCAAGAAAGTGTCGAGTTCACAGCACGGCGTCTGTGGAAGATAAACTCTTCTTTACTATCTGCATAGGTCAATATTTGACGAGGCCATTGATTGATTTCTCATCAATTGCCCACTTCGAGCCTGGCTGTTTCGTGGAGGCTCTTCCTTCTTCTTCAAGCCTAGCAGGGAAAGGCAGTAACAGGCACAATGTTAGTTAAGCAATCTATAGCAGTGGCGGTAATGTGTGCATCTTGACACATCTCGTCCCTTCCACTCTCCCCATCAATCAATCGTCGCTGACTCCGACAACTTCGGCTGCTGTCAATGTCTACCCGGGCGGTTGCATGTCCCTATGTCATAATTTGCCCCTTCTTCTGGAGGAACGGTTGATAGGATGATGTAGGCAAAGCTTGGGCTATACAAACAACACAGAATGTATCGATGTCGGACCCAACTCTGACCTCTCTACGTCTGCAGCTAAAAGATGAAACTGTGGTTATTAGTTTGCTTTGGTTGAGTAATGCGTCGCCTGTCATTTTTTCAATTAGCTTGTGGGTAATTTTGTTGAGATATGTGTTTTATAGTACTGTCCCTAATTTGTCAAGATAATTTGACATGGTTCATATTTTTTTTGTTGCAAGATATGTCAGGTCTTTTTCTTATCATAGAAATATCAACATTCTGTTTTCTTCCTTTAGGAGGTGTTTTTTTTAAACAAAGGTTGGAAGGTTATATGAAAATTTGAAAAATGAGCAAAAAGTCTGCTTCTCATTTTTAAAAATAGGGTTGTTTGCCAAACTGAAAGTTATTTTATGGACCATTTGAATGATATCTATTCAAGTCAGTTTAAAAGCAAAAAATACTTTACATATTCCAAAGACGTCTCTGATAACACTATCATAGAATGTATGTTTCAAGGGGTTTTGTAGACAGTGCTATGCAGTGATTCAAACTTTTCCAGCAGTATTCAATTGTTTTTAGATATCCTGCCAGGGAAGCTTTCAGGTTAAAGCGTTTGCTCTGTAGCTGATATGTCAAGTTTGATTCCCACATCTGTACAGTTTGTAAAGCCGTTCTTTGTGCCCAATGAATGATAGGACTGAAATATTGATTAATGAGGTTCAAACAAAACCCTCAACACAACGTTCCCTGGGTATTAATGGTACAAACAGATTCATCACAGTAACTGTTGGACCATTCCGAACAGGAAACTGACCAATCCTTCAAGAATGAAGCACTATCAGTGGAAAGACAGTTAACTTTGTGAGTGATACCATTCTTCTAAACAGTCAGTAATGTTCACTTCCAGGGGCCTATGTTTGTTTCCACTATGCGTGTTTGTTGATGCACCAACGGATGGTTTGCGTGCATGTATTTGTACAATCAACAAACGTCCTCATCCTGCGCGGTGCATCATGGTCCTAAAGGCAAGCTACATTAAGTCCCGTCAAAACTTGCTAAACACAATGAAATGGGAGATGATTTGCTTGTGTCAGAGGCTTCAGTATGTCCTCCTTGAAGATGGCTGATGATCTTCAAATGATTTGAAGGAAATGTAGGCCTGGTGCTCAGACAATTTGAAAGGCTGGGTTTAATTGGTGGAGGAAGGGTTTGTTGTTGAGAGCGTCTGGATGGTTTTGGTAGAGAAAGTTCATGATTAGCCAGATGTAGCGAAGTACATGGGTTATATGTATACAGTCAGGCACATGCGTGTTTTCATTCCTCTAGGTTGCTTTTACTGTACATGTTTACAAATGCCTGCAAACAAATGAACAAAGTTAGAAAAATAAATCAGTGGGAATGATTCAACACACATTACAGACGAAGATGGTACATGATATTCAGGTTATGTTAATGTTTGTTTTGACTTCCGCAACGTTCTGGTTGATGTGAAGGTTTTATGAAACGCTATTGTTTTCAAGATGGATCTGATTAAATCTACACGAATAGTATTTAAACTGCTGTAACAAAAATGTCACTGCTAGCTGTTCTGTTCAAGTGTACTCAATGTTTTTCATTTGGTAATCTCTCTTTTCCATGCTTCAGCTAGTGGCCAGTCAAAGATTTACAATTTTATATAAATAGTTATGTCCCTTTGCTGTTTCAGGATTATAACTCATTCAATCAGACAATCACAACTACCACTGCTCACATGGCAACAGATCTTAAGTTTATTTTCTATTTTTCCTCCATATACCAACCAGGCTATTATTAATAAAGATCTGTGAACCCCCAAAATATATAAAAAATTATCTTGAATACACAATGCCATTTTAGAAAGTGGTCAAATTAGAAAGTGTTGGGACTCAACCCAACAACGTACTAGAATCTGTACTTTACTGAGAGAGTGTAATCCCATATAAAACATGTTAACTTTAATCTTCACTTTAATCTTTTGTTTCACTTAACATCCAATGCAGAATCTTCCACTTGTCTTGATATTTCAAGTGTTGCTTACAGAAAACTCTGAAATGTCTTCATACATTCTCTGTTTGCCTCCAGGTCAAGAGACAACTGGAGTAGGCACAGCTCCAGGAGTATACTTAAGGGAGGACCCTATCTGTGGTACCCAGCTCGAGAATCAAAGTGAACTAAGAGCACCAACAGCGGAGAAAGCAGCCTTTTACCTGGATGCTGCACTTGCTGCAAGGTCGCCTGTTGGTAAGCATGCTGGAACCTTCAATTCTTTCATACCTTACCATTATCCGATTCTTAAAATAGTAGTTCAATATTGGGACAAAATCATGCTGTGAATAAAACTAAATCGAATTCTTTATCCTGGAGATCAAAGGGTCCATTAAGAAGAAATATGGTTCAATATGTGTGCCATTTGATGAGATGATCTTTTATGTTGTATTTGAAAGAAACGTTACGCTTTCAGTGAAGCTTTCGTTAAGTTTGAAACCAATTTTGTCAAATATTTCCCTTTGCCATGTGGATTCATTGAGGTGAAAAGTGATACAATGTGTGCACCTATTTATGTGATAATGTTTGATGTTTCGTTTGAAAGGAATTTACTTGTTCACTGAAGCTTTTTTGTTTGTTTTGAAACAAATTGTGCATTATTTGTCTTTGTCAAGAATTGTTAACAAATTGGTGATCGTTCTCCTTCAGATGAGGAAGGGAGGTCGTCCCATGTGTTATTCACTCTTCATGTGTATCAGTACCGTATTGAAAAGACCAACACCAAGGCTGGACTTCCTGGAGGTGAGTCCCCATCCTAATCACCTGGGGCTTTCTCCAGCCAAACCTTAAATAAAATAATTAGCAGTTATTTTTTTTCCAAGCAAACTATGAATAAGAGTGAGTGTGTTTACCGGTAGTTTTACGCTGCTTTTAGCAATATTCCAGCAATATCACAGCAGGGGACACCAGGAATGGGCTTCACACATTGTAGCCATGTGGAAATCGAACCCGGGTATTTGACGTGATGAGCGAATGCTTTAACCACAAGGCTACCCCACCGCTCCTTTGAATAAGAAAATTCAGATCATTTGTTTCTATGATTCCATGTAGTTTTGGCCAGTCAATCATGGAACATATTACTAAAAAAATCCACATTTTTTTTATTTTCAATCATTTGTTTCTGTACCTATCTATACTTGCTTATTACCAAGATTTGTGAACTGGGACTGGAGTTTCATTTGAAAAGCTTGAAAAACATGGGTTTTTTATTTAATTTTAATGACAAAGGGCTTCCTTAACATAAACCTGAAAAACATTGGTTTCTTTACTGTTTCACAATTCTGAATGACTTTTCCTTTTCGTTACCCAAGATGTTTTTTTCCTATTTGTTTTCCTATTTTCCTTTTCATTAACTGGAATTACATGAGTTTTTCCTTTACTAAGTGAAAAAACATTGGTTGTTCCTATAGTAAACTTGAATGACAAGTGTTTTCCCTTCTTAAATCGACGGCCTCCGTGGTGTAGTGGTTAGAGCGTCCGCCCAGAGAGCGGAAGGTCACGGGTTCGATCCCCGACTGCGTCATACCAAAAGACATAAAACATGGTACTTGTTGGTCTCTGCCTGGCGCTCGGCATTCATGGATACAACAAGGACTGGTCGACTCGGAGTCAGTATAATGTGTCTGAGTGGGGTATTCATCCTTCACTGTGGCATGGTATCTCAGTGGGCTAGCACTATAAAACCAGCTTAAGTCTGGGCTAGTATAAGCAGCCGCACATACACATACACACGCATGCACGTCATCATATGAGCAAAATATTCTCAAGCACGACGTTAAACCCAATTTCACCTCACCCACCTCACCCTTCTTGAATCAGAATGAAATGGGCCTTTTCTTTGGTGCAGCAAGGCTGTTCTCTACCCATAATATATAATACTATTTAATGGTCCTAGGAATCTGTCATCCCTATCTTCTTGTGAACCGTATTAATGAGAACACCGACCTATTCATGTCTACATTTACCTGCCCATAAAGGCCACAATCATCTTGATACTGTGAAAGCGGAAATAATGACTCAGTTTTTTATCAACAAACAGGTCATAATTCCGGGTGTGGTACTGATGAAAGTGATAGGCATGTACAACCTCCGGCTTCTCTAGGGAAAGATTGTATCAGTTTATACGGAAAGGCCTACAGAACATTTGCCCACATTTTGTAGGTACATGGCTATCAATACAACAATAAAATCTCCATAGTATGGAAATAAAGAGTACACCGGTCAGTAGTTTTGCATCATGAATAGTATTTAAGATATGAATGATATCTGAAGTAAGTTAAGCTCCTTAGGCATGAAGGAAATTCGACATTTATTAAGACCTACAAGCACATTGGAAACCTTTACGTGAGCGGATAGGCTTGTGGCTATATACCTTCAAAGTCATATGTAGTCATTAGAAACAAGAGCCTTCCATCTTCAGGTTTCACTACAACCGGGACTCAAATTTTGTAATCAATAATTGAATGTTGGGCAAAAGAAAATGTACACCTGACTAAAAAATTAACAAAATTATCACATTTTGCAGCGAGTCAGCAATCTCAAGTTTCAAAAACACAAGTTAATATCTATTTCAAATACATCCCCATTACATAACCACTTCTTGTTTGTTTAATTAAATATACATGTTGTTGAAAAATATTGTCTAACATTTCAGTGTCAAAACATACAAATTTATAGATGAAAGTTGTGAAATGTACCTTGTCATCTCCACATGAAATGATGTGTGATATATTTGTAATAGCCTCATGAGTCTTTTAGGTAGTAATTAATAGCTGAAGTGATAATTTATAAAAGATCCCAAAACGAGCTGAATTCGATGTTCTGGTGGATTTCGACGATTGCATTGCTCGCACTATATCGATGGAGTAGGTGTGCGATCGGAGTGCACAAGTAATTTGATTGGTAGGGCTGATGACCAGTGGCTGATCGGTAGGGCTGATGACCAGTGGCTGATCGGTAGGGCGGATGACCAGTGGCTGATCGGTAGGGTGGATGACCAGTGGCTGATCGGTAGGGCTGATGACCAGTGGCTGATCGGTAGGGTGGATGACCAGTGGCTGATCGGTAGGGCGGATGACCAGTGGCTGATCGGTAGGGCGGATGACCAGTGGCTGATCGGTAGGGCGGATGACCAGTGGCTGATCGGTAGGGCGGATGACCAGTGGCTGTCTTGAGAACTTTTATTGACGACTGAAATCCGAAAGTTAAGTTATATAGAAAGCAAACAAACATCAAAATTATTTACCCATGATCGTTAATACCACTTCAGATGCAAAATCAACTGCCTTTAGAACAAGAAATAGAAAGAGAAAATTCAGCAAGATCAGTCGTCTGCTTGTGACAGGCAATTTGTAAATAGGAAGCCACGTTATCACAACACTCCCTCACCATGCGGAGCGAAAAATATGGCTGATCATCAAAAACCCATACAAAATCCCCAGATGTTGAGAGCGGCAACGGTTTCGCTGATAGGATGTCATCAACGCTATTTTTGTAGGAAAGACTTGATATTTTTGTGTGAAATAGATGAATATATCCTTCATCACTCAAGGTTAGTAAAATAAGAACTTTTAATGATATTAAACATAAAAATTACTTTTGTCTTACATCGTCAAAACCCCTTTACACCGGGAGATATAAATGAAAAGAACACATTGTCCCTCTCTCTCACTGACTGGTGTCCTTAGACGTAGCCCACTTATCTTGACTTGCCTCTTTAAAGGATTGAATTAGTATTCATCCATGTACTTAGCACTCAGTACAGCCTTGGCGCAAGGCTATGTCCATCCCTGCTTGTGATTCCATTGGAGAGTTAGTGAGTGTATGTTTCTGGTACTGCAGCCCAAAATTACAGCAATGTCATAACTGTTGTGAATAATCTAGTCTAGATGGTGAGTGAGTGAGTTAGTTATTCGCCACTTTTAGCAATATTCCAGCAATATCACAATGGGGTACACCAGAAATGGGGTTCACGTATTGTACTAATGTGTGGAATTGAACCTGTTTTTTCGGTGTGATGAGCCAACGCTTTAACCACTAGACTGCCGCCCAGAGTCTAGATGGACTAACAGTGGAACAGAAACAATGTGTGCTTGTAAATCATCCACTACACCCACTCCTATAGTGGTTGTACCTTCAGAAGGTCTTGGTTTTAATCCTTCCTCCTTGTTCCACATCATACCAGTCTTTGCTTGAGTCATGGTAGCCATGGGGGCGGTGGGGTAGCCTAGTGGTTAAAGCGTTGGCTCGTCACGCCATAGACCCGGGTTCGAATCCCCACATGGGTACAATGTGTGAAGCCCATTTCTGGTGTCCCCCACCGTGATGTTGCTGGAATATTGCTAAAAGCGGCGTAAAACCAAACTCAGTCAGTCATGGTAGCCATGACAGGTTTCGTTTGTATGGAGATACAATATAATTAATCTCCAGGTATGTTAAAAAAGTTGGAATCTGGAGCAAAGACATAACTTGACTTCAATGTTATTTCTTAACAGCTCAGAATAATAAAAAGGTATCAGGGGGAAAGAGATTTTTGGACAGGCAGATCATGAGAATCGAGAATTTTATTGGTGAAAGCACACACATTTGCTCACTCACCCTTCGTGTAGCACTATAGTCTAGGGCGCTGTTCCACAAAAAGATGGTGGCGCTAAGGTGATCGTAACTTCCACTGTTTAACAATTACCGGTACAACTGCCATAAAGCTATGATCCCGTCAAGAAATGGGTCCAGGAACATAATTCCACCAATCAACCTACTGATTCAGAACAAATGTCATCTACTAGACGTTTTTGTCGGAACACATGGTTTATAATATGCAAGATCTGATCTTGAAGCTTTAATATGGATAGGATCGGAGGATGTGATTGAAATAAAGGCTGTTTGTTTTAGTGGGTAAATCATTCAGTGAGTAGATATATACTTTAAGCCACATCAGCATTATTGCAGCTATTCGTGGTTGATGGTTTTGGAAAAAATGCTCCTGGGTCTGAAAGAGACCCTTCTTTTATCAAAGAAATATTAGTAGTTTCTGCTGTTACCCACAGTTGATTCATCACCCAAATCTACACTTGATCACCCCGTTCTTAACCCTATAGAAACATAGGTCATTCCATTTATGATGTCTGTTCTGTGAGCTGACTGGGTTTGTCGAGCTATACTACAAATTACATGCCTGATCAAAGTTTCCATCAATTCTCTTCCACAAGAGACCAGACACAGTGATATTTTCACCAGGGTCAAAATCCAGTTGAGAATCTTCCACAGACTGCCATGCCAACAAGTACACTTCCTCCAAGTCTGTCAATACTGCATAGTGAGACTCGGCTGAAAAAATTAGCCAGAGATCTTTCCCTAAGTGACAGTTTAAACAAACTGTTTTTAATAAGGCAACATTTGGCTTCCGTCTTGCATGTACTTGTTTAAAGTGATAAGTGGAGGAAGGTATCCCATAATGCAACATTTCAGGTTCATTCAAGTGCATGCCCTAGGACCAACGGATTCTAGGGCTTATGTCAAATGATGAAAACCGTGCCTCTTGGGTTCTAACAAGCCCCCTCTGGACTTACCAGCTCATTTTAAATTCAGTCCATGTTTAAGTTCATTAAATTAGCCCTGACTTGTCCCTTGACAGGAGGGTCTTCATCAACACGGAATTACTTGTATCAAAATGTCGCTGCTCCTACAGGATGTTTTTATTTGACTTTTTGCGAGAATGTGTCAAACAGGTCGTAGTTATCTCTTTATTTTGCGTGCCAGAAGATTATGTTTGTTCGGAGAGAGATAGTTTATCAACTTGTTCGGAGGTGTGAGGCCTGACACCATCTCCCTGTTGATTCTAGCAAATTGTCATATTTATCTTTCTGCTTTGACATTTGACATCGGCACGAGTGTTCAAGATTCTTATTATAATGATAATGGTGATTACATGTCAGTTTTGTCATGTTTTGTCTGGAGAAAAACATTTATGTTTGCATAAGCCATTGAATGTGTAAATCTGTGGTATTCAGTGCAACGCAGAATTGTCGGATTTCTTCATAGTTACAAGGGGCGGTGGGGAAGCCTAGTGGTTAAAGCGTTCACTTGTCACACTGAAGGCCTGGGTTTGATTCCCCACATAGATACAATGTGTGAAGCCTGTTTCTAGTGTCCCCCATCGTGATACTGCTGGAATGTTGCTAAAAGTGGCGTAAAACTAAACTCACTCACCCACTCAGAGTTAGAAACTATCAAGTACAAGCAGAGAGTGAGTGAGTTAATATTTAACGTCACATCGGCAATATTTCAGCCATATCGTGACGAGAACATATTCAAGTACAAGCAGCGACCATATAATAGATAATATATTATATGGTCTCTGGTACAAGGGACAGACACCATGAGCTAAATCTAACTACTTCACAGCTCATGTCTGTCAGTGCTTTGTGAAACAAAAACTATTCCCTCCAAATTTAAACTGGTCCTGTGTCTTACTCACAAACCACAGCAGTGTTGAACCCCAAAAGTTGTAATCTTGGTAGGCTTTTTTATAAGCTTTCAGATTAAACACCGACAGACATGATTCTCCATGTGATCAGATTTACAATAACATCACTTCAGTCAACTTTCTAAACTTACATGAATAATATCTGGATTTTTCAAATCATTCCGCGCTCAGCATGATGAATTTGAAGCCTATAAAATGGGAAATGCCAAGGCATCCCTGAACTCAAATGCTTCATCAGATCCAGGCAATTATGGCCTCATCTACAGCTAACTGCCTGTATCACGTTGTGGGTAGCAGACTCCATTGACAATGATACATGTCTCCAGGAGATGTTTGTTGTTGCTGATGCTGAGCTGTGTGTGTTCACAGCTGGCAAACGGTGGCCGAGGGAGGGGATGGGGCTCCATTTGGGGGTAAGGGGATGCTATGCAGGAATGAGCCAGATTATGATGATACTCAGCTCATGTTGGAATTAAAATGGTATCTTAGCTTTCTCAAAAAGAAATTGAAATTAAAAAATAGGATAAGTTGAAATATATTTGCTTGCTGAAATGACATTATGATGATACTCAGCTCTTATGTCGACATGATATCTTAGCTTTCTCAAAAAGGCAAATTGAAATCAAAAGAAAGGATAAGGTAAGATATATTTGTTAGATAAAAAGAATTCCAATATGGAACTGAGGCAGTTTTGAAGACATGCATACATTCAGTGTACACAAACATAAGGTAACATTTAGGTGAGGTGAGGTGAAATTGGGTTTTACGTCGTGCTTGAGAATATTTCGCTCATATGACGACGTGCATGCGTGTGTATGTGTATGTGCGGCTGCTTGTACTAGCCCAGACTTAAGCTGGTTTTATAGTGCTAGCCCACTGAGATACCATGCCGCAGTGAAGCATGAATACCCCAATCAGACACATTATACTGACTCCAAGCCGACCAGTCCTTGTTGTACCCATGAATGCCGAGCGCCAGGCAGGGACCAACAAGTACCATATTTTAACGTCTTTTGGTATGACGCTGTCGGGGATCGAACCCAGGACCTTCCGCTCTCCAGGCGGACGCTCTAACCACTACACCACGGAGGCGGTCGGTAACATTTAGAGTACATGTATATTTACAAATGAAGTAAATAAACACAATATACCATACATACATATGTTACATAGTGTGGCACATTATTGTAAGTTGTGTACTGATTCCACTGTTTGATTGGCATTCCGGGAAGTTGGTAAGTAAATAAGGAAAAATGAACAGCATTAAAGGTAATCATTCTGGTCGATTACATTGATTTAGTGATGTTTTGATATGAGTTCTTACGTTGTTACCAACTGGTATATGTATTAACCTAGAAGTCTTTTTCCACAAAGTTTTACATCTTATCCTTGTTATTAGCTCTAACCATGGCTTTCTTTTCTTTTCTGCAAGAATCTTTGGCAGGAACAGATTATTGTTTCAGACTTAAAAGATATTAGGTTCAATTTCTGCCTTTGCTTCAGTTGGGAATAACAAAAAATATTGGTTTGAAGACAAACTGGATTAAACAGTGTTTGTTCTGCCAAAATTAATCAAAATTGAAAAACAGACAATTTGGTTAGAGCTTAAAAGTATCCAAATCCATAAAAGATGAGACGAAATAATTAATTGTCACCATGGAACCAATTTGTATGAAATATTGTCTATTTATTTTTCCAAATCATTCACAGATGAGTTAGATTAAAAAAAATCTTCTTCCGTCTCCATCTTGTCAATAGTCTCTTCAAAATAAACAAACGAGGGATGGTTGAGTGAGAACCATGCTTCATTGGTACCGATGATTCATAGGGCACAACGCAAAAACATAGATACATGGTATAAATCTGTCACTAAACGGTTCCTCTTTCACTGAAAGGGACCATCTTTCTCTCATTATCAAGGAACATCTTTCATGTTTGCCTCCAGTCTAGACTCAAGGAAAGCCTCTTCCCTTTAAATTGGTCATCAGGCTTGTTTATGGTCTCACACTGAAATCACCACACACCTTTGGCGCACTGTTAAACTGCTTCAAAGAATGCCATCGGTTTGTTAGTTTACCATTGTATCTGTGTAAACAATTGAAACACTAAAAGTGTATTTTTTAAAGAATATTTTGCCTTTGATTTCTACATCATAAACCTGGAAATATATATGCTACTAGAAAATGGTCATGTAAGTTTTCCTCGGAAACATTAGTTTTATGATGCTCCTCTTCAATCTGTCATATTTTTATCTAACAAAAGTTGGGGAATCCTTAACATCTTGTAGAGAAATTGATCATCGTGACAGTTTCTAAATTAAAGAAGTCATCCTATTTGCAATATATTAGCAAAACATTGACTTTCTTGTTCTTATTAGTGTTATGAGAGTACTGAAGTCACTTTACACTCTGATGATCAAAGAGGAAAAGTAATTTGTTATTTATATATTTACTGAAATAAGTTAATACATCAAATAAACACTGTCAAAATATTTACACTAGATCATGAAATAATTGACTCGTCTATGAAACTGAATTAATTGGTCTAATCTATTGTGTTTATAGTAGAACAAGGTAAATTAACACACATGGCCTAAGGCCATCATAGGCAATTAAATGCTAATTACCTGTAAAGATACCTGGACCTTTATTTAGGAGTGACAATGAGGCACGTTCAGGCTCAAAGAACTAATATACACAATGTTGTATCATCGGACAATGACCTTGTTTAATGAGTATATGTAGCTCTTATAAGTGAATGATGTAGCCAATCGGACTTAATCCCCTTGAAAGGCTATAAAAACATCAGTACCAGGTATTAACACATACCATAAACCAGAGTGGGAGAGATAAGTATCTACAATGCAGTGATTTACATGCATTGTGAGGTGTCAGTTACATGCTAGACAACAATTGACATGTGTAGACACAGCTCGAGTGTAAGTGTCACCATTGAAATTGACGGGTTCAGGGATGAAATGAACAATGCAATGTCTCACCAGACATCAAGGGAGGGGGTAGTCTGGTTTGTGAGTGATGCTTGGAGGGGGTATGGCAAGCAGCAATTAAAACACCTCTGGCTGTGGTTGAAGTGATATAAGGAATTTAGCCCCAGTAAGATCAGTTAACTGGTGTGACGGGCAACGGTCATTAGCAGGGTAAGGAGATAGTAGAGGATGGTCAGCTTAGAGGCTACTTCAAGATAACAGACTACAAATCTGCAGTAAGCTGGTAAATTCATCAGATTTCCAGAGCAGTAGTCATTGGCCTTGACTTCTCACATGGGGGAATGTTGCAGAATTGGCTCATTCCTTCCCTCTCTTAAGCTGGTGGTAGCTTGGATTTATTTACGATATTTTCCTGCAAACTGCTTCTTGGAGGTAGATATTTTTTCCTTTTTTCACGGAGATTGAATTTCATTTTTGTAATTTGACAGAGATTGCTTGTTGATATGTTTTCATGATATGGCCGCTCTGGAAATTGATTTTTTTCCAACAGGTTTTATGGGCTATTTTTTTCTGTTAATATCACTTTTGAGTAAACTCAAATGGATTAGGTCTGTGCTTGAAATAAGTGTAAGTCTTTCGATTGAATGATAAACTCTGTGGAAACTATTTTACACCTCACTGATATGATCATAAAAAGTTGCTGGTTCACTAACAAATAGCATTAGCCTCAGGAGGCGCTAGGAAACTAGCAGAGCTAGAGCAGCTGACGTAAAAATAGTTTCCCTTCACTTTTCGAGTGGTTGTTGGGCTGGAAGCTGCAACTTGGGGTCCAGAGTAAGTGTCATATTTTTTCACCTACTTTCATAGAATGTCTAAGGTTTTTCAGACATTTTCCTGTTGCAGCAGACATACAATAACTGAATGAAATGTTGGAATAAGTTTTTCCAGATTTTGAAATAACTATCTGTACGTGGTTAATGATATGAAAAACAGTGTAAATTTGGAACTCAATTACATTTATATTAAACTTTCCCACAGATAAAATTGATTTTCAGTTCATCACAGTTGAGGAAGCTCTTTAATGTGTAGGTTAGTGTAAAAGTAATCATTAAAAATGTATCTTAATTTGTAGGAATACAGCTACAAATTAGGCCATTTTTTTCAGGTTTTCTATGCACCATGGCCTCTAGCAGGGAGGGCTTGCATGTAGACTAAGCCTGCAAGAAGTGGTAACAGAATTACGTGTTTCAGTGTTGTAATCAACTCAGACAAAGATAATTGATTTAAAATGGATTCTTCTTTTTCAGTTGCTGGAGGGCGAAGTCGACTACACTTGATTGACCTAGGAAGTACGTCCAAGTCGAAGGATCCCAACAACGTTGCCCTGAGTCTCTCTGCCCTTGGCAATGTCATACTTGCTCTGGTGAATGGACAGCGCCATGTACCCCACAGGTAGAGACATTATGTAGAATGCATTCACATTGTAGATAACAAGTTCGATTTGCTTTTGAACTTAGCACTGCTGCATTGCTTTCTTAAGAAATATTGATGAAACTTGTTTTTGAAATGTTTTTGTTGACCTCATTTTTTGTGGACATTGCAAGTTTCTAGAAAGGAAGGATTTAGGACTTAGCATACACTCACACTATGAAACAGATACTGGGGATATGGAATAGCATGTCATGGCTGTTGTGAGAAAACAGTTAACGTGTAGCTGGCCTCGTGGCTTACTTAGTCTGCTAAATGTTATATATCATGCTTATCATTCTCAATCTTAAAAATAAATCTGATAACACTCAGACCATATCTACTCCTAACATGGCACTTTTTACGTCATCAACACTTAATCTCGAAAACCACCCAGGACTGGAGCATAGTATCATGTTTTGTTACGTTCTTTTTATCTACAGCAGAAGGGATCTTGGGATAGTATTTAAATATGTACTTCACCAAAATGTTTCTATCAAAAGAAGTATGGGCCATGATAGCTGAAATATTGTGTAAGAAACCTTACATTTGGGATGACTACTAAAATTCTAGTAGTCTTTGGCTTAAGACATTTTGGTTGTAAAATTCCTGACAGTGCGATGCTGCCATTGCAGATAGTCCATTTCAAGGAAACCGGAACAGGACTTCTTCTTTCAATCTTTTACATTCCTTTTAGTAGTGAGATTGTTATAGGAAACAGTTAGGACGATTACGGTTCTGTTGTTAGGGAACAAAGACTTGTAAAGATATAATCTTGAGATAAAAGCATCAGTCAAACCAGAAATACTATAGTTTACAAACAATGAAATGTTAAAATGCCATGAGTTGTATAATGTATGTAAAACACACCTTTTCATCAACAAGTACATTCAAAAACAAAGAAAAAACAAAGAACTTTCAGAAATGCTTTTACATGTTTACAGTATTACGCATTGAATTATGACAAAAGATGTTCGAAAATGACCTACAACATAGATTCTTATATGTCATACCATTGTTTATGTAGATTTTGATCCAAAATGCAAGTGTTGTCAAAGAACAATACAACGGTTTGAAGCGTTCTCATGTGACAATGTTTTTGAACCAGAAAATATTTGGGCCATGTGATATTGTTCTTCCACTTTCATCCCAGTGAGAAATTATAAAACATATGTCTATTTACTACCACGCCTAAGAAATAAATGAGAAAAATAACACTCCTTCCTTACCAAATATTTAGTGAAATATTATGAAAGAGGGCTTATTGATGATGGTATTTATTACACAGAAAAGATAACAATGTTATCCTTTTTTATGCTACATCAGGTTCCTTTGATGCTTTACTTGGTCAATAATCATAAAAATCAATATGGACTTTGGAGCCATGGTTTGATACTTGGTAATGAGAAATGCGCAGCAGCTATAAAGTTTTATACCAAATTGATGTGGCATCTCCGAGAAATGTTTTAATTGTATGGATATATCATTCCACATCAAGGAGTTAGTAGACTTGGCTGGGATGTGTGATGAGACAGGGGACAGCAATGTTAAAAGGGGTCACTGGCAATAACTGGAATATTTTTCAGCCTGATGGAAAATTTTGCATTAGGTAAAGAGTCTTTCTGGTGAATTAATGACCGATGTTTGCTTCAGTATGTTCACATTTGCCTTTTAACAAAGAGGCTTTTTAGCCTTTCCAAGATGGCAAATTAATTGTGAAATATGATTTGAATATTGTATTTATGTTCAGTTGCTTTGAACCACTTCAAGGGATTGGAACATATTTTTGATTAGGGTAGAGCAAAATGCATGCCAATGCATACGAGCAGAGCATGCATATTTGTGTGTTAATTATTCTCTTGAGAGATTTAATGAACAGTCTTGGTACACATGTTTAATGCTGTTCTCTCACAGCTGCTTCCATCTTTTGTCTGTCTGTTGACCTTTAACATATACTTTCATCTCTCATGGACGAATATTTTTTGCAAGGAAACAAGTCTAATAACTTCAATCACAACACGATCACACTGTTTTTTAGCATAACCGCTCATTCTGTGTTTTATCTCTCTCTCTCTCTCTCTCTCTCTCTCTCTCTCTCTCTCTCTCTCTCTCTCTCTCTCTCTCTCTCTCTCTCTCTCTCTCTCTCTCTCTCTCTCTCTCTCTCTCTCTCTCTCTCTCTCTCTCTCTCTCTCTCTCTCTCTCTTTTCCTGTTTTTCAGTTTTAACTAACCCACATATTGCTACTACAATCAAAACTCATATTCAAGGAAATAATGTGTTTAGGCTGAGAGTGAAATTACTTGCAGGCTTCTTGCTGTTTCTGAGATAGATTTGAATCTGGAATTTGTTAGGTTATCTGGGTGATTGGCAGCTGGGCTGGAGGAAACCATGTTGGCTTATCTGCCCCTGCTGTGATGGGAGTTATCTGCCCCTGCTGTGTTCAGATGATCAGGGTTCAGGGGTAGCCATGTTAGGGATGGTGTATCCATCTGACAACCATAATTTATTAGTACCCAGTGGGTTTATGTTGTAAGATGGAAAATCTAGTGGTGTTCTTACACAAGCGGCATGATAAAATCGTACAGGACTCCTTCCAGTGATTTAATGGGAAAAGTCGAACATTGTGTAAATTGTGCTGCCATTAATATATCCAACATATTTAAATATATCTTCAACGGACTAGCTTTTGGTACATATGGGAGATGTTAGAAAGAGTTAGGAATTGAAATAAGAAGAAACGTCTTTAACATCACAATGCTTTTTAGATGACAAGGGTATAAAAACACAAACAAATATTTTACATATTTTCAGTTGTATTAAAACAGATTCCTGTTGGTTGAAGTGCATGTATAGACTGCACTGGCACAAGTATTGCAGAATGATATGGATGATTTGAGTCACTAGTATAGTTTTTCAGGCGCCTCTTCAACATGGAGGTAAAAACCCAAACAATGTAACACATCAGTTGACGTCCTAATAATCGTAAATTGTACAAAAACCACAGGTGCCATAATGGTGTTGTTCTTTGCAGTGACTCACTTGGCCAGTAATTTGCAACATTCTTTAATCGCAACAGTGTTGTTAAACATGAAATCAGTTCCTGCAATTACCATATAATTTATGGATATTGTCTAAGATTCCTCCTCATTCTTTTGGAAATGTGGCTCATTTTCTTGGATTGGGGTTAGCCAAAGTCACTAATGTTGCCTTTGGGACTCGGAACCAATTATTATGAATCTAATTACCCCTTTGATATCCTCTTCATAAAGGTTGCCTGATTATGCTTCATAGGGAGTCTCTTAATATATGATGAACTAAATTGAGGCTAAGCGTTGATAAATACCCAAACATCAATCCATTTTTCTGATTTTTTAGTTAAAGGTTCAAATTCCATTACAATTTTCCCTTTGTCATTTAAATTAAACTGCACCAAAAATATGAATAATAGATATGAAATTTTCAGCTAAGAAATATTTCAGTTTGGCAAAATGCAAAATTGATATGCATGGAATTGAAGGTATTTGATTTAACATGCTTTGCAGTCCTACAAAGAATTGGATTTTGACCAATTTGCTCATTCTTTGGTTCTTCGGAAGTTAATGTTTCAATTTTTAAGAACATTTGACATAACGCCAAACTGTTATGAAGGGATGGGTTTATCTAGTTCATAATAATTTTTTCAAAGATCAAGAACATACCTGAGTTTCACAAAAGTGTGCTTCCTTTATGTATCTCTTGCTTTTTGTGTTCAGAATAATTTGTGTATGTTATTTGGAACTCAAATGTTTTAGAAGTTTCCATTTGGGAGTTCATACATGCAGTCATTTAATTTTATATGTATGTAAATATGTATTCAATTTTTGAAATGTTTGATGAAACATAAAGACATGAGAAAACATGAAATGAGCTAATTTACATATCTTAATGAACACTGCACCGGTGACAAGCATCCGGAGTGTATTCAACTTAGTGATATATTTATAATTCTTCTTGAAAGAAAGGTGGAAAATTTATATATCTGTGATGAAAACAATTTCAACTGATAAGACTGAAACTGACATAACTTGCCCCAGTACATTTGTGAAGTCTCTGGTGGCTTGGATGAAATTGATTTGAAATTGACATTTAATTCCAGAAGAAAACTATACAGCAAAAGTTAGAAAAGCCCAAATCTCAAGTGAAATACTGATCAGTGGACATGAAAACTATGACAGCCACAGCGTTTAATGACTTTATAAACCTTCTTATCACTGTATTCCCAAGTGGTGATGAACGTGGGTTCACCTGATGTGTGAGGTCTTCTTTGTCAACCCAAGAACTTCGTCTTGAACGGTCTCCACTGACCAGCCTACTGAGGGAGAGGACCTAGCAATTTATCTAGTCTAGTTGAAGAATGTTTGCCTTGATTGTATGGACCGAATTACGACAGTCCCTCTTGGAGAAGACTCGCAGAGGAAATAAAGATAGAAAAATCAATGATAGGAGAATTGTGACAAATTGGCCCAGAACGACTGCATGACTTGCTACGACCAAGCAAATGAGCTAGTTTGTATTTGCGTTCAGTTTTAGGGTCCCTTAAAACTTCCCGACTGTTTGAAGTTGCCAAGAATGGACTTTAAACTTTTTACTTTTATTCCTGCCTCACTGATTACTTTGAGGACAGTTTACATAAAGAATATCCATGCCATCACCTTCCGAAATATTTCGACTCCACAATGAGGCATCCCCTGCTGAATAAATATTTCTGAGTGGATCTACAGTGCTGTGTGGAATATAGATCTCAATTAAAATCCACTTGCAGCGCCACCTATGGGCCAGGAGGAAATCAAGCAGAAATGATCTCTCCTTAATGTTCAGAAACTTGAGTATAAATAATGGCCATAATGTGACTGAAGTGCTCTAACCTGTCTTTACGACAGTGTTTGTCTTACTTGTAAGTGAAACCAGACAACTGATATGCATTTTCTAATGTATGGCTGATTTCAGTGAGGTTTGCCTAACCACTGATGTTATGTAGCTGTGACTTTGAAGTGAACTTGAGCCCTTTGTGTCATGTTTGGAAATCTTTTATATTTATTTACATAATTATACTCTTAATAAATATCATTTTACTTTGAATATGATGTCATATATGGAAATCTTTTTGTTATATTTGCATAATATACTTTCAAATATCAACAGTTCATCGTTGAGTTCATAATGAAGTACTTCTGGTTGTATGGAAGTTAGTGTTCAGTACACAGAGATACTCTGTACATGTCATAAAAACACTGAAAGCTCTTTAATCCTCTTGGTCAGTTCCCTCAGACCATATTTATTCAAATCGGTCAGCTCTGTGATGAGCATTTAGCATGTAGATAGCCCTGGCGATGATGAGACAGTATTAACTCAGCCAATGATGTTCCCAGGAGATCAGATACTAGCTTCCTAAGCATGAAACAGGGGCATCACCTGACCTTTGAGCAAGGTCATTAAACTGATTGAGATCTTTATCCCTTGTGGGAGATCTGTTTGCTCTAAACCCGTTGTCATCTCACTGTCAGTGAGACCTGTGTGTTGACATTTGTTTATTTTATTTTGGTGTGAAAACATTATGACTGACAAAAGAACAAACTGGAAGGACCTGTACTGAAGTGATACAGTGTTGCACCTAATTGTTATGGCTTATGTATTGTTTGTTTTGAGTAATTTAGAATAGGTTTGGAATAGCAGAAGTTCTATTTTTGTTGTCAAAATTATGTAGAAGTGATGGCAACCGAAGTGAATTGTTTTTCAAACTATTGGGTACTTCAGAAAACAGTTTGTTTATTTAAGGAGTGAAGCAAATCTTGGCATTGATTGATGTTGAATTGAAAACGTGTGGGCTATGAAGCTGAAATTGTTTTTACATGCATATGTCACACCCAGTTTTTTTCTGTATAAAAATGCCCTGAATGCTGCCACAAAAGGCCATTGAGTCAAATGTGAAACCAAATATCTGTATACTTATATTGTTTATAGGAAAGCCTGTCTTTTGCAGAAGTTTCCACTATGTCAAAATAATAATACATCCTTCACAGAAAAGCAAAAGAAAACATGTCATGTTTTGTAAATCTTTTTAAGAGTGATTCCCCATATTGTCTTTTTGTTTTAAGAAATGTTTCAATCCATTCTTCTAAAAAAATGAAAAAAAGCTTTTAAACAATGTTGAAGAAACAAGGATACTTGTCATGAAAGACAATGTTTCATAAAGGTTCTAAGATGCCAGATGGTGCAAGATGATGGAATAATCATTTTAGAACATTTTAGAAGTAACAAAATGTGTCAAGTGTCAAAGAAACTTGTTGGAAATCTTCAAAATATTTTCAGCTTCATTTCTCATCACATTTATGTGATCGTAAGGCCGTGTTAATCTTTAGGGCTTAGAGTTCTTTGAGTTTATATGTTCATTTTATTACTATAATTATTATTGCTATGAGGCATTGATAAAGTAGTAAATATCATGATATAAAGTAATAAATACCCTTAGGTAGTAATTGCATAACTTTTCCCATGCACAATGTGAAAACTACGCCAAGACCACTTAAGATGACTAATCATAAACAATATTTGTCGCATAATGATATTATGCCCTTTTTAATGGCTATAACAGCGTGCGATATAGGTTGACTTGTCATAATGGAGCACAACAAAGAGAAGGCAAGCTTTTCATGTCAGTCATGATGTCAGAGGGAGGTTTCATGTGAAAACCAATCCTTTTCAACTTTTCTTTAACAGATGCTTTTAACATACACCATTGATGTTTAGTATTGATACAGCTACCTTGCACAAAGACTGGGTCAAGGCAAAAACTACCTTTGTTTTAAATGTGCATGATCCCAATAATATCAGTCTCACAGCAGCCATCTTGTGTAGATTAGCTGTTTATGATAGTGTTAAATTCAATAAAAACAGGGCCTGTAAATATAGCAAGGTTTTATGCCTTCTTTGTGGTATGGAGTTTCCCACACAAGCGATATAATTCTTCCTTAACATAAGGGGTTTCTCTTGGGAATATGGACATGGTGCAGAGGCTGCCTGTTCTTATTGCCAATACGATATCTCTTGTTATGTATTTTAGGGTTCCATTACTTTATATAAACGTGGATGTCAAAATGTTTTCATGAAGCATTGTGATTCATGCAATATGAGTCAGTTTCAGATAAATGTTGTTTACATGTTGTAAATGGAAAGTTAGGCTGATGTGGTTATTATGAGAAAAGGCCAATTCATGTTTTGATTGGATGTTATTGGTAGGTTTTAATTCAATAACCATCTTTCTCCCAGCATAATTAGCAAACTTAATTAACTTGAGTTTTACACCTGTCTCTGATTTACCTTGTTAGTTTTATGTTCTTTGCTGTCGTTAGGAAATTAAATCCTGCTGTCACAACCTTCAATGCTTCAGCTATAAATGTATAGGGGTGGAGAAACTGGTCATGAGGGAGGGATAGGGATTTTCATCGCAGCAGGCACCCGATCAGAAGATGCAGGGGAATTGGGGTGGGGGTGCATCAAGGAGGGGATAGTCTGTCTGTGTGGAGGGGTGTGGGGTGTGTGTGTGTGTGTGTGTGGGGGGGTCATATTCTTGGAACCTGCTTTTAGAGCTGATATATTGACCTTCTTTCCTCATACCCTGTTCAGTATTCCAAGAGTTCCTGATAATGCAAAGAGGACTCTCAAATGGAATTTTCTGGTAAATAATCAACATGTGTTTGGCAACAGTTTGGTGTTTTAGCATTTTCTAACTTATTTTTTCAGCACCAAAGTTTGTAATAACGTTTAAATGAAAAGTGAATGTGATGATTCTTCATTCATTTTGTGCCAGGAATTGTCATATGTATAAAATTGTACCCATTACTCAAACTGGGCTTTTTATTCCAAGATCCTTTTTGCTTGATTGATTCAATGAACAGGTGATAATTATGGAAACAGGTGGTTCTAAAAACAGTTGACACATTAATGAATTACGCTTCATTTCAGAGCAAGAAAATTTAATTGACTTTGCTGACGATGTGGTAAAAAGCTTACTTTAATTGCAGAGACAGCAAGATAGCTCAACTTTTGAGAGATTCTTTGGGCAACATGTCATGCCGAACGTGCATGATAGCGCATGTGTCATCAGGAATCTCCCGGTACAACGAGACGTTGCAGGTGATTCAACTGGCAGCAAGGATACACAGGATGAAAAGGAGGCGGACAAAGGTAAGACGATCGATAACCAATAATCAATTATAAACAGATCAATATGTGCAAACATATCACCTTACAACAATGAGTAATGGCTAATTGAATGTCTCGCAGTCTACTATTGAAAATTTATGAAGAGATGGGCATTGTTTTTTGGCATTTAAATGATTTTCTTTGGTACTGGTGTTTTGTATGGAATTTGTTTTTAGGATATTTACACTTGAATTTGAAATGGACCATTTCTACATGGTATCTAAAGGGATTTTGAAACAAATGGAACTGTGTACATGTCTATTTTACTGGGAATCACGGATTTTGAAACAAATGGAACTATTTTCAGTGCTGGCTGCAGTTTGGTTGGACTGTGTACATGTCTAAATTGTATCTACTGGGACTCAGGGATTTTGAAACAAATGGAACTATTTTCAGTGCTGGCTGCATTTTGGTTGGACTTAGCCTTAGTCTAGGTTGGACTGTGTACATGTCTACATTGTATCTACTGGGACTAGTACTTTATAGTTTAGATGATGATCAGACAGTGCTGATGTTGGTTGCATGGTATGAAGATGTTGGCTGAGTGTTGGACTACTTAAATGTTGGATAAGACAGTGGAGGAATGGAGGTGTTGCTCTACACTGTGTGCCAGACTACAAAGATTTTGGTTTAAACAGTGTTAGATAACACAGATGTTGACTTAAGACAGCACTCGACTCTCTCTGCAAATGGTGGTTAGACAGTGTCTATCTATGCAGATGTGGGTTCAGACAGCACTCAACTCTCTCTGCAAATGGTGGTCAGACAGTGTCAGTCTATGCAGATGTGGGTTCAGACAGCACTCAACTCTCTCTGCAAATGGTGGTCAGACATTGTCAGTCTATGCAGATGTGGGTTCAGACAGCACTCAACTCTCTCTGCAAATGGTGGTCAGACAGTGTCAGTCTATGCAGATGTGGGTTCAGACAGCACTCAACTCTCTCTGCAAATGGTGGTCAGACTATGCAGATGTGGGTTCAGACAGCATTCAACTCTCTCTACAAATGGTGGTCAGACATCTATGCAGATGTGGGTTCAGACAGCACTCAACTCTCTCTGCAAATGGTGGTCAGACAGTGTGTCAGTCTATGCAGATGTGGGTTCAGACAGCATTCAACTCTCTCAAATGCAAATGGTGGTCAGACAGTGTCACAAATGGTCTATGCAGATGTGGGTTCAGACAGCACTCAACTCTCTCTGCAAATGGTGGTCAGACATTGTCAGTCTATGCAGATGTGGGTTCAGACAGCACTCAACTCTCTCTGCAAATGGTGGTCAGACAGTGTCAGTCTATGCAGATGTGGGTTCAGACAGCATTCAACTCTCTCTGCAAATGGTGGTCAGACAGTGTCAGTCTATGCAGATGTGGGTTCAGACAGCATTCAACTCTCTCTGCAAATGGTGGTCAGACAGTGCCAGACTATTCAGATGATAGTTTATTGTCAGACTACCTAGATGAAGCCTGTTGGCAAGTTTAATTTCCCAGAAATCTGAGCTTCTACAATCTCTAGTGAAAGCTAATTTTTAACCATTGCACAATGGTTTTGGGTGAAGATCAGAAGATTAATTTTACCTTCATCTGTTAAAAGTAAGGGCTATTTTATCATGTGTGAAGAATGTGTTTGAGGCCATTCTTTTGAAAGTACGAAAAATATGTTGTTTGTCTTCTGAATGATAGAACAACACTGGAGAAAACAACGATATAACCTCCTCCAGATAATTCATCAGGGCCAGTAAAAAGGTTCCCGATTACTACTCTGTTTGACTAATGAACCGTTTGCATTGACTGCTGACGCCCTTATCACAGGTCTTGATTTACAATGATTTGATGCCAAAGTAGTTTTATGTTCTGAGGTAACATTCTGTTTAATGTACACATTTAAGGCCAGGATATTCTGTGTTGGTTTACAGATTTTTGTTTTCAAAATCGTGGTGGGTAGATGCAAAAATAAATATGCAAAAAAGACATTATATTTTGTTTTATGGCTCCAAAATTATCTGAATTTATCTGTTATCTGTTGTATGTAAGCAGTGGAAGAGAAACATCTCTTCAGCTGAAACCATTTTTTGTGTTGAACACTTAACGTTTCATTTGGTGGAATGAAAAAATCTAATATTGAGCTTTTCTACTCTTTGTGGTTTTGGGATAAGCTGAATGCATCAGGGTTTTAAATACACTTGCTCTTATGATTTACAATATAAATTTGTTATGGATTAGTGTACAGAAATGATACCTTATACATGAATATAATTCAATAAAGACAACCATTTTGATATTAAGTTGATGGAAATTTTACATTTTTGTGTGAATGTATATAACATTATATTTTAGAATAATAAAACAGTATCTCAAATTGTGTCCATAAATAATCATACTGTATGTATATGCCACATCGATAATATCATGTGACCTATATACATTAGTATTGGAGGCATTAGAGCAGCATCAAGGAAAAGCTGTATCTGAACTGTGGCGTATAAACCACAATTGAGACGGTCTGATCCATACCCCAACGGAGCATTTAGTATAGATGTGCTCTCAATCAATGATCAAGTCAGTTATACCGATAAGGGGAAAACATCCTTCATTGATTTGTATTGTGTTCCATTCGGCAAACTTTTTCTCTGATTAACGGTTTCAATCAATACTTTCTCAATGGTTAATAACCATCCTGTTGTACCATACTTGCACGCTTCCAAGTCAACATATCGACACAAGCATCATTTTAGCGTACCCACTCTAATGTATTGAATACTTTGGCCTCTCAATCACCACGTTCACTAAGAGAAGTTGTCATGTTTCAATATTTGAAGAATTGTACACTGGCCGTGTAGGTAAACAGTCGTATCATATTGCACGACCCTGATGACGAATAGAAAAGGTATCTGGTTCTTCTCTGTGTTGACGTGTTATAGCACGTGCTGTGTATTAATTCATTGTTTGGATTTGCATGGTACGCAACCAACCCATTCATGCCAAATATCTTGAAACAATAAAGTTTGTTTTCGTAATCAATTAAACAAACATACAGATCTGTTACATCATATTTCTTAAGTTTGACACATGCTTTGTGGTGAAATGTGTTTTTACCAAAAATTGGATATATTTGTGTTAGATAAGGTTCTCTGCCTGTTCGTGTCTAAAGTCAGTGTAAATCAGTAAACAAGAAGATTAAGGATCGGTTGACGTTTTCTGTACACGTTCCTCTGACGATGGAATACTCAAAGAGCAACAGATTATGAGAAGAAGTGCATTTTTGATTTGTGACTTGCAGACTTAACTGCAGTAGAATTCAACTTAGGTGAATTGCAGATAACATGATAGAGATATAAATGAATTATTTACATGGTTTCCTTTATATGTTGTAATGTTTATGGATATTCATGTTGATAAAGTTGCAAGATTTTGTTCTACATGTAGTCTCAAGTTAAGCCAGATGTCATGTTGTGTTTATTATACAGAAAAATATATATGTAAATATTTTTTTCAGTTCTCAAGCACAAGTTCTGAAGATAGTTCTACCGATGAGAGCATCAACTTCCGCCGTCCGTATCGAGGATTTCGAATGGGAACACTCCGGGAAGATGTGCTGTATTCGTCATCACATTCAGATCCCGACTATACCTCGAGTAGTGAACAGTCTTGTGATACAGTTATTTACCTTGGTGCTAATGGACAGTCTCTGAGTGACCGTGAGCTGACCGATAACGAAGGTCCACCAAGACATGTACCTAGAACAAACCCTCGTCTTCCCAGACGACCAAGTGGGTCAAGGTCGTCAGGAGACGAAGGATCAAATTCAGACAGTGGACGAAGTATGACATATTCTGATACACATAGTCGGTCCCCTCTAAGATCGGTGACACCTGTGAATGGCTGCGTGCAGATGTACGGGAAACAGATGCACTCAGCTCCAGGATCTCCTCAACCAGGTGCAGTATCAAGACGAGCCAATGTGAGAACAAAAGCAGTTATCTCACGACCCCAGCTACCAGGTGAAATCAAAGAAGCTAATGCACACTGGTCTGAGAAAGGAAGACAGCATCCTCAGCATCCACAGCATCCACAGCATCCTCAACATCCACCCCACTCTCCTCATCACTCCAGCAAGAGGGGTATGAGGCCAAGCCCAGATACAAAACCTCTACAGGGAGAGCAGTGGGTAGATGGACCTGGGGCTGCTATCTACCCTGATAAGAAGGCTAGAGAACAGTGGGTAGATGGCCCACAGGCATTTGTTGTTCCACCAGATACACCCAAAACTGCTTCTAGATTCAACAGGAAAGTAAGCTCAGAGGAGCTGTGGGTTGATGGTCCTTCAGAAATGATTGCTGGGCAGAAAAGAGCAAAAGACAATGTGCCTCCAGCAGGGATTGACCCAAAGCAGCCCATGCATACATCATGTAAATTTGAGTTGAAAGAGGCATCTGCTGAACCAAAGTCTTCGCCAAGCCATCAGAAGACTTGTAGTAAGGTGCTAAAACAGACTCATCCTAAACATGTGCAAGATTCTAAGGAGCGCCCAGAGAGCACAATAAGCCTTGACAGCAATCTCTCAACTAAAGCAGAAGCAGCTGATTCTAGACCTGCAAGTATGCTAGACACAGGAGATGGACAGAAGGCTGAAGGACCTAAACCAGAACCTGCTCCTGAGACAATTAAAGTGAAACCATTTGTTCGTGATTGGGTTCAAAGACATGGAGTTGTTAATGAAACACAAGGACAAAATGATGCTGAAACTGGCATGTTCATTGTAGACTCTGATAACAGAGTCATAGGTACATTAGAATCCATGTCTGGTAACAAAAAACAAAAATTACATGAAGCTGTTGCAAAGAAACTCTTGTCCACATCTCCAAAGCATTCGCCCAAAAGTTCTCCTGCCTTGTCAAGGAAAGGTAAACAAGAAGCTAAGGAAAAGGAAAAACCTGAAAGTCAAACCAAACTGCAGAAAACGCAACTTCCATCTCAACCCCACCCAACAAATAGAGTGGCAGAGTGGATAAAGTCTGTGTCATTTGAGCAAGGCTTGGATACTAGTGCCAAATCTGAGAGTTCAGAGGTTGTGATGGCTGATGCTGAAACAAACACAGAACATGATTCAGACTTTGAAAGGTTGGCAGCATCAGACTCAATTAAGGGAATAACAAATGGGGCTGATGCACATCCTGACACAAGTTTCGATAGTAGCATGGACATGGGAGAATACAATGAAAGCTTGTTGAATCGTGAGTCCATTTATGAGATTCAGGTGGAGGAGAAGCTGGAAGGATTGAAGCGGGGAGATGGGTCGAGGGTGGTGAATGATGTGCCTGATGATGAAACCTTCAGTAGTAGATCACGGACTGATGATAATGATAAGGACTGTGAGAATCAGCCTCTTCTTGAATCTAGTGCTATAGAGGAGCATGTGCGTGCCCTCACCACAGGCTCCAGTTCAGTGTCCAAGGGAATAAAGTCAATGTGTGACAGGAATACATCTCCTGTGCCATCTGATTATGACAATGAGAATGATGTGTTACCTGAACTGTCCAGGCCACTGTTGTTGAGGAGACCTGATGGTGCCTCCAACCCGAACCTTCTTAAGGAAGTGTTCCAGGAAGGATTGGCAGATCAGTTGAAGGACAATTATGTAATAAGTGGTGAAAGTGTTTCCATTGAGATGATGTTTGCTACATCTAGTCACAACGATTCTGGAATCAGCAGTGTATCTGAACTCCCTCCTACCTCAAGTTTCTCAATGGGACCATGTAAACCTGGAACTCCAGGCATTGACTATAGTGCTCAAGATGTGCAATCAGGAAAACTGGGCAGTTCAAAAATGCCAGTACGATCTAAACCTCCTCTCCCTCAGAAACCCTCACCAACATCCAAGCCCAGCTCCCTCCCTAAACCCTCCAGTGTTGGCTCTGCTCCTTCAAGCCCATGCCGACAAATTTCTCCATCAAAAAACTCTCACAAAGACCTCTCACCAAATCAAAAAAGCAAAAGCTCTTCCTTGCCTGTTTCTTCACACAACGGTCGTAGCAAAGAGAAAGACCGAAACGGTAAATCATCATCTCAGAAATCTGTCTCACACCAAGCTGGAAGTCCTCCAGGCAACGGTGTGTCCAAATCTGCATCTAAATCACCCAAAGCTGCCCATAGTAAGCTACCCATCTTTGGCTCTAAGACCCCATCTCCAGTCAAGGAGTCCAAATCTCGGAAAAAAGACAAAGATAGCAAAACTAGCAAGATCGGGAATGGTCGTGTTTCAGAGCTTGTTCACAAAAACAAAGGAACTGATTCTGATAGTGGAAATGACAGCGGGATCGTGACTGTGGACAAGAAGCTGCTGTCTCCCTATGCAACTGTAACAAAACCCAGGACACCAAGTCACTCTAGCAGTGGACATGGCAGTGACAATAGCAGCACCATCAGCACTGACATCCACTCAACACATGGCAACAAGTCTGACAAGCTTCATGGTGGAACCAGCAGTGGCTATGAAAGCATGCTACGAGACAGCGAGGCGACGGGATCATCATCGGGAGAAGAAGAAAATACAGATGACAGTTCAGGGGAGAAGAAGAAAGGATCAAAGCGAAAAGGTATGTTTGAACCTCATCAATGATCAAACATTAGTTGAATGTAGTGAGTACTGACACTCTATTGATGTTATGGGTCTTCTAGACATTCTTGATATATAGTTCCATAGCCAATTCTCAGGATTTCATTTTATTATTTGTGTTTTTCTGCAACATATTCTTGTGATTTAGTTTTGCTGAAATGTATTCTTGAGATTTAGCATCCCATGAAATGAATTCCTTAGATCTTGTTTCTTTATCAGTTGCTGAGAATAAAAACAAATAATTCATTCATTACTTGAAATCAGATTGCGTTCTTTCAAGAATATTACCAACTATCTATTTTCAAATGTGTAAAGTTGATGAAACATCATGAAAGAGTATATGATTACTCATGGAAATATGACATGATTAATATTGGTTATTTTCTATCTTCCTCTGCAATGGCTGAGTTTATATATAGAAGAGAGGCTAATGTTTGCTGATGACATAACACAAACAGCTGAGCAGCCTTTGTATTGTGAGCTACACATGATACATACCACACCAGCAGACACAGCCAACACTGTTCTGTCATACATCACTCTCCTGGGTATCTCTGTATACACCAACCTATTATACGTTCCCACATAGCTAGGCTAATAGGTTCATTCCGCTTGCTTTATTTTCCTGCTTTTCATATCTGTTCTGTTTGTGTAAAGCTCCCATAATATGTTCTGTCACTGAAGATCAACTCAGGGGAAAAAATGAATTATTGCCCACTTCTAGGAATCGACACCATGGTTCGATGTTGTTGTGTTAATAAGCTCTTGACAAATGCTTGTATTGGGTCATGTGTGAAAAATGAAAATGAAACCCTGTCGGAAATTTGGTTCACTACAGTCAGTAAATAAGGATCTGATCAAAGGGACATAACTCTCATTTCTGTAATATATCCTTAGTTATTGTAGTAATTCTTAAACACTGATTTAGAATGATTTGATGCTGGTTGTGTTTTAAATTCATGGAGAATGAGCATATATAATATGCTTGTAGTGCATATGTCAAAATTGGGAATTATTAGCAAAGACTTGAGAGGGTCAAAAATGGACACTCAGGGCCAAAATGCAAGGGCCCTCAAATATATCTAGCATAATTATCAAGTGTTTGTGATTTTATGGTAGATGGAATTATCTCTGCAAAGTAACTGACGTAATTGTGAAATTATGAGACATGCCTGACAATAGTGCTGGGAATTATTGGCAAATGCTAGAGGTGATTAAAAATGGACACTCAGGGCCAAAATGCAAGGGCCCTCAAATATATCTAGCATAAATATCAAGTGTTTGTGATTTTATGGAAGATTGAATTTTCTCTGTAAACTAACATAACTGTGAAATAATGAGACATGCCTGACATTAGTGCTGTTGGTTCCAGGAACTCGCCGAAGTCGGTCAGCGCCTGCTAGGTCTTCAGAGAGTCCCCCTGACAGTTGCAAGCAAAGCCCTTCTGTTAGTCGCAAAGCTATGAGCCCGTCACCACGTGCTTGGGTGGACACGCGTCACATGGGGAAGGTAAAGGAAGAACCGTTAGACATCAAGAGCTATGATGCAAACGATGTAGAGAGATTTGAGAGACGCAGGACCGACGAGAAAGAGGTGCGATTTCCGCCAATTTCTTGTTCGGATTTGCTTGCTAAATCTGTACCAATTTATCCCTGCTTGATTTGCTTTTGGCATTTCTTTAGACAGTCCTTGCAGCCTCAGAATCAGTGAATCCAGCTCTTGCTTTCATGTAGCCATTTGAGTGTGTGAATGCTGCTTTGTATACAAAGTGTTATATTCAGCTGTGGTACAACTAGTTCCAGTTTGATATAGTATGTCATGGGTTTGTGTTTGTTTGATCCCAGTAATCTATACTCCAGCTATATCAAAGCATCTTGTAGTTAATCCAGTCTGGACCAACCAAACCAGGGAACTATTCTAACCTGGTATCTTGTGGAATGGTAGATATGTAAATTCGATTCAGTACAAATACTTGTGTGTAATTGCTTTTCAATACATGTTTGGTGCAAAATTTCATTCTCTCATTTGCCTGTCCATTTGAAGTGTTCCAGTTCCTTGAAGCAGTTGCCTTGCTAGCGTTTCACTGATCAACAGTTGTTTTATCCCTTGCATGGACCCACTCATGAGAAAGATCCTGAAATAAATATATAATTTTTAAATTTTCTAGACCAAGTTGTCTGAGCAGCAGCGGAAGGAACGAGTGAAGGAGCTTCTCAACAAGCAGGAGGATCTCAAACAGGAATTGACAGCGCCAAAAGACCGCATTATGATGGAGCGAAGCACGTGGAGCTTCGACTGTAAGTTTCTCATGTGCTTCTCCTGTAAGAGCCGATCGCCCCGGACCGATGTTTGATGTGTCACATGACCTGACCTGCAGTAGCATCATGTCAGCACGCAACTGCACCTTTCGTGTTTTGTTCCAAGAGGAGACCATACAAATCTTTCTAGCACTGTCTCTCCATCAAGCTTTGGTTGTAATCCTCCACAGTCTCTGCTACCAAGGTGTAGCTGAATCTCATTGTTTTGTTTCTTACTTCAATATGTCTGATGGGCAGGTTGAACATTCATGTGAAACTTCAAGGGTAGATTTAGTAACGTCTCATAAAGAATCAACCTTCAGAACAGATCTGAAACCAGATTGTTTCATTCTTGATTTAAGTCGTTGCAAAAGGCATTGACAAACTTTCATTGAAGAACTGGAATTGATATAGGAAACTGATTGTTAGAAAAGAGCTTTTATGATGGCTTTTCCAAACCTAGATGTACCCTTGAATTTGTTGTATTCATTGAGTTAGAAACTGATGACGACACCACATTGTCTTGTATTATTTATCCCTGACAGGTAAAAGAACTCCACAACTACATAATATTTTGTCATCGCACATTTTCTTTGAGCCCTTGTCATCATTATGATCTCTATGTCCTGTACTATCTCCATTGCTAATGTACCTCACTGTAAAAATTCGAGACCTCATTTTGCATCTAAAGTTTATTTCAAGTCATACTGACCTTATGCAAAAGTGTACTACATTATTTTCTAACCACCTTTTTCTGTATGCAATTTTGATATTTTTTGTTAAGCATTCGCTTTCATTCAACCAATACCTCCAGCGGTATAACCGAGGTCTCTTGTTTGATGTACATAATGTTTGAATGCTATGCAACAATGTATTTTAGCTCCTGTTGATTATGCAGTCCAAATTTGGTGCATATTTGGGTGAAATCGATTACCACCTTGCCCTTGACATTGGAAATGTACATTACCATCTGAAATGTACAGGTTTTGAATGTAACTATCCTCACTCTGTTAGTCTGTATACATTGTCGTATATTGCTACAGCTGTATAATGTCAGCGTTTCACCAGCCCAGATGCACAGAATATTTTGTTGTTTAGGCGGCACTTTTAAGTATATTTTTCCTTTAGAATTTTGTTGTCATCCATCCCTAGAAAGAATTTTTTTCTTTACAAGATGATATATTTCCAAGAAAATTATTTTTATTAATAAAATGTTTCTTTTGAAAGGAATGATTTGATAATTTCTTGAAGAAAACTGTAAATAACAATGCCCTTGACTGCTATTTGTTTTGTATTCAACCATTGATCTAAGATAAAATATTTGTAAACGTGTCCTACAGTTAAACTTCTCATAATCTGTTAAGCTTGACTGGTTCTAAACTTGTTGAAATATAGAAGGTATGTTGGTTACAGATTTGAATTTATTTCATCTGAAATGTCTCGTTTGATCATTTCAGTGTTTGTGGCAGGGCTGCGCGATATTGATCAGCCTGGTTATGTTGAAGCACTAGAAAAGGAAACTCTTATTTTGGAGAAACGGGTCCAAGCGTGTCAATCACACATCATGATTGTCACTTGTTTTGATAGCAATTCAAAATCAAAATCTCATAGTGAAACATCCATAGTATAGTCCTTGTGCTTAGTAACGTTCAGCATTAGCTACTGAGATTTGATTTCAGTTTAACAAAAAGTAATAATGTACAATTCAAATTGTTATGTTATATTATATAGTGTTATGTTATACAGATTTTTATCTGTAATTATTTGGGTTTAATTAAAACGAAGTTTCGGTACAATAGATTGTACTCCATGAATGAAATTTTAGCTGAATTTTAGAGTGAATGTACCGGTATGTTTGTTGTATTGGTTAGAATTTTATAACAAGAAGTTATTGGTATACAGAGTGCACAGTTATTGCATCTTGACACCTTATTTTAGCATTTACAAGCCAAATATCAAAATTATAATAAACCCAGAGCAAGAGATGTGGCACAGTCAGGGAAATGGTTGCCAAAAAACAGTCAGTGTGGTAAGGGAAGTAACTCCACTCAGCTTAATCATGGTAACTGATGATATGCAATATTAATGTTAACACAACAAGAGAGGGTTCAAAACTGCTGTTAAACTTTTTTCACATTTTTCAAAAGAATGTTTTGTTTTTTGTTCAAATTAGAATTTACCAATGTAGGTACATCAATACAAGAGCAATTTAGAACAATTTTCAATGGGAAATGTTGATTTCATTTCCATGGTGACACTGGTGCTCTTTAATATTTGAACCTTCCTACAATGGGGAGGGAAATTTTATAAATTTATAAAATTTGATATCCCTCTCCCCTTCAAGGCCCAATATGCCAAAATATGTTGTACATATTTTTCTCGGGCTGAAAGTTTTCATTGAACTGCCTTGGGGTAGCTTGTGCTGTGGCTTAGAAAAGACAAAATTTGCGATATCTTGTATTATATATGGATGACAAAACAAGGTCACCTCAACAGTGACTGAATCTGATGAAGTTGTCTTTCAAGTACTAAAGAAATGTTTTGGGGATTTCTTTGTGAAATTCTGCCCAAAGAGTGTTTTTATCAACTTTTAAGACTTGTATGATTACGTGTTCTGATGGTGGTGATAGCGTATAGGTCCATAACCATTGAATTGTCCTGTATTTATTTGTATTCATATTAGAATGATGTACAATTACTCTCTTTATATATATTACCATGTGCAGAATAAAAGACAGATTTAAATATATTCTGTGTCTGTGTCTTTTTCTCTCAACACAGAGATAGGTAGAAGACTTTACTTTGACAGTGTACGACTATAAGTGTTGGTTGTTGTTGTGTCTTTTCTCTCAACACAGAGATAGGTAGAAGACTTTACTTTGACAGTGTACGACTATAAGGTTGGTTGGTTGTTGTCTTTTTCTCTCAACACAGAGATAGGTAGAAGACTTTACTTTGACAGTGTACGACTATAAGGGTTGGTTGAGATAGGTAGAAGACTGTTTGACAGTCTTTTCTCTTGGTTGGTTATTGTGTCTTTTTCTCTCAACACAGAGATAGGTAGAAGACTTTACTTTGACAGTGTACGACTATAAGGTTGGTTGGTTGTTGTGTCTTTTTCTCTCAACACAGAGATAGGTAGAAGACTTTACTTTGACAGTGTACGACTATAAGGTTGGTTGGTTGTTGTGTCTTTTTCTCTCAACACAGAGATAGGTAGAAGACTTTACTTTGACAGTGTACGACTATAAGGTTGGTTGGTTGTTGTGTCTTTTTCTCTCAACACAGAGATAGGTAGAAGACTTTACTTTGACAGTGTACTGACGACTATAAGGTTGGTTGGTTGTTGTCTTCTTTTAGAAGACTCTCAACACAGAGACAGTGTGACTATAAGGTTGGTTGGTTGTTGTGTCTTTTTCTCTCAACACAGAGATAGGTAGAAGACTTTACTTTGACAGTGTACGACTATAAGGTTGGTTGTTGTTGTGTCTTTTTCTCTCAACACAGAGATAGGTAGAAGACTTTACTTTGACAGTGTACGACTATAAGGTTGGTTGGTTGTTGTGTCTTTTTCTCTCAACACAGAGATAGGTAGAAGACTTTACTTTGACAGTGTACGACTATAAGGTTGGTTGGTTGTTGTGTCTTTTTCTCTCAACACATAGATAGATAGAAGACTTATTTTGACAGTGTACGACTATAAGGTTGGTTGGTTGTTGTGTCTTTTTCTCCCAACACAGAGATAGGTAGAAGACTTTACTTTGACAGTGTACGACTATAAGGTTGGTTGGTTGGTTGGTGTTTTGTACCACATTCAGCAATATTCCAGCTATATTGTGGCAGACTGTAAATAATCCAGTCTGGACCAGACAATCCAGTGATCAACAGCATGGACGTCGATCTATCAATTGGGATACGATTGACATGTGTCAACCCAGTCAGCGAGCCCGACCTACCGATCTCGTTAGTCGCCTCTTACATGGTTTACTGGAGACCCGGATCTTCACAGTATACCTCTATAAGAGGTTTTATTGAATACTTTAAATCTTTTCACAGAGAGTATTTCATTATTCTGTGATATTGAATTTCACCATGGTGGTTGTCACAAATCAAAGTGAAAACTCAAACACAATCTGTGAGTTATAAGAGTTTATTTCTACGCTATTACATTACAACATGAAACATAATCTCCCCCTTACATACCCTCTCCCCACCCACCCCACTCCATGAACGCACACACAGAGTCTACATCTAATCTTAAATAGCTAACTGTAAATATAATCTTAATTAGCTAACTGTAAATACTTAATCTAAATCTCATCTTAAATACCAATCCTTAATGCCCTGAAGCCTCATTAACCTTATTTGGGATGTTTGCTGGTATGTACATGTATTAGGAGTACTAAAAGAAGGAGGGGTGCTGCCCCACTAGGCACGTATGTATGAAATCATTACCAAATTTGTATTGAAGTATCATTCATGGTTTTTAACTTTTTGTAAAATTTCAACATTTGAAAAGAATGTTTATGAAAAAACCCATCTTTAATTGTGCTATATTTTTAACAAAAAAAATAAGACATCATCAGATTTACTGAGTTATGTCAATTTCTAATAAACAGCCAATTTCCATGGATGACTTTACATGTGTTGTTGAGGTAAAAGCTTTTCCTTCATCATTTTCTGGATGAAAGTATTATCTGTTTAGAATTCCATCTTAAAAACAGTCATTGGTTTCAAAGGGCTTATTCCCAAGTCTTTGGTGACCATTTCCAGTGTAGGTGCCATGCCTGAAAGTACTGGGTCAGAGGACACAGAGAATCACAGGAAACAGTTGCAAGTAGTCAAATGGCTGTTGCCATGGAACAGTTACAAAACAGGGCCTAGATTTGTTAAGCTCTCTTAACGCTAAGATAGTCGTAAGTTAATGTTAATGTATGGCACTTACGACTATTTTCTCAACGCAGAAAAAGTAGAAGACTTTACTTTGACTTCGACCATAAGGTTGGTTGGTTGTGGTTCCTGAGATATAGGTCTATTTCAATTTTGGTCAATTTTGTAACTTATATAAAACATATATTTATAATGTGTTTACATTTGACAGTGTACGACTATAATGTTGGTTGTTGTGTCTTTTTCTCAACACAGAGATAGGTAGAAGACTTTACTTTGACAGTGTACGACTATAAGGTTGGTTTAGAAGACTTTACTTTGACAGTGTACGACTATAAGGTTGGATGGTTGTTGTTGTGTCTTTTTCTCTCAACACAGAGATAGGTAGAAGACTTTACTTTGACAGTGTACGACTATAAGGTTGGTTGTTGTGTCTTTTTCTCTCAACACAGAGATAGGTAGAAGACTTTACTTTGACAGTGTACGGCTATAAGGTTGGTTGTTGTTGTTGTGTCTTTTTCTCTCAACACAGAGATAGGTAGAAGACTTTACTTTGACAGTGTACGACTATAAGGTTGGTTGTTGTTGTGTCTTTTTCTCCCAACACAGAGATAGGTAGAAGACTTAACTTTGACAGTGTATGACTATAAGGTTGGTTGTTGTTGTGTCTTTTTCTCCCAACACAGAGATAGGTAGAAGACTTTACTTTGACAGTGTACGACTGTAAGGTTGATTGGTTGCTGGTTGTTTTGTACCACACTCAGCAATATTCCAGCCATATGGTGGCAGACTGTAAATAATCCAGTCTGGACCAGACAATCCAGTTATCAACAGCGTGGACATCGATCTATCAATTGGGATATGATGACATGTGTCAACCAAGTCAGCCAGCCTGACCACCCGATCTCGTAAGTCGCCTCTTACATGGTTTACTGGAGACCTGGATTTTCACAGTATACCACTAGAAGAGGTTTTATTGAATACTTAAAATCTTTTCACAGACAGTATTTCATTCTTCTGTGATTTCGAATTTCATCATGGTGGTTGTCACAATCAAAGTGAAAACTCAAACACAATCTGTGAGTTTTAAGAGTTTATTTCTACGCTATTACATTACAACATGAAACATAATCTCCCACTTACATACCCTCTAACACCCCACCCTACTCCATGAACGCACACACAGAGTCTACATCTAATCTTAAATAGCTAACTGTAAATATAATCTTAAATAGCTAACTGTAAATACTTAATCTAAATCTCATCTTAAATACCCATTCTTAATGCCGTGAAGCCTCATTAACCTAATTTGGGATGTTTGCTGGTATGTACATGTATTAGGAGTACTAAAAGAAGGAGGGTGCTGCCCCACTAGAGCGGGTTTAACTTGGGTTCAAACAATACTTCTTGAGTGTGTCAGTTTACTGTGGGAGCGAAAAACCTGCAAGCGAAGGAGCCTTAGGCAGTGGTGAAACCCAAATGAAAGTGGCAGATATTGATCATAATAGAAGCAAATGTGGGATTCAAAACCACAAGCACTGGATCCTGGTAGCAAAGGGGGATAACTCTGCATATCCACAAGGGCACGTTTGCTACTTCCCAAAGGATAGCTTGACGTCATTGTAACTCAGGTCAGTATGACTTTTGGAGTCAATATGCTTTTCTGTCGACGGTCACGTGACCGCCTCTAGACCAATAAGGTAGCCGGAAAAATATGCTTGCATAATAATATATATTATACATACATCATACACACACACACACACACGCACGCACGCACGCACGCACACACACACAGCACAGACACAGCGAGATATCGCAGATCGATCGATAGATATAAAGATATCATTTCCACACAATTTTGCATCATTGTGACTAAAACCGAACAAGGAAACACCTAGATATAAAGGTTCAAAACGTGTCTTATTTATTGGAGACGGTCCCCCATCATTCATTCACTACTCTATGTGGACCCGTTAGTTAGGCTTAATGACTTGACTGATTGCCTGACATCTTACACTGACAGCGTCGAGTGGGACGTTGCTCATGATATCAGTCACTAGTTTGACTGGTCCAGATTCCCGTGGGTTTCATCTAAATGGTTAATGTCTGAGACCTGCATCACTTGTGGCTTCCCTCCCACAGTAAGCTGACACGTCGTATTGCGGGAATACTGTGCAGTGTGACAACCAAAAACTCTTACTGGCTCACTGGGCCAGATTCCAGTATTTACAGCTTGAATATCGTGGGTGAAAGGACAAACCAAACAAACATTTGTCTACTAAAGATTAGCTGAGGATACCGTATCCCAGATACGTTCACCGATCATCACTGGAGACTGTTGATGTAGAATCAACATTCCAAACTGCCGTTCAAAGGCAACTCAATTTTTTTGTTATACCAGTACCTATTTGTACGTGTGTTACATACATTAGTATTTCTATGAAAACATGGTGACAGAAAATAGGGCTATCGATCAGGATTTATTAGCGGATATGGGAAAACAAACTCTGAGGGTTTGCTCGTTGTTTACCGCCGCACTCAGCAATATTCCAGCTATATGGCGGCCGTCTGTACATATTCGACTCTGGACCAGACAATCCAATGACTAACAATACGAGCAACGATCTACGCAACTGGGAACCGATGACATGTGTCAACCAAGTCAGCGAGCCTGACCACCCGATCCCGTTAGTCGCCTCTTACATCAAGCATGGGTTACTGAAGATCAATCCTAAGCCGGATCTTCACAGGCTGTTAAGACTAAGAGATCCGTTGGGCCGCTTTCCTCTTTGTTGTGTTATGGAACGAGCCCCCTGGTTATTTACAGACCGTCAAACTCGCACAAATATTCACATA